GACCCACCTTGATAGCCTTCTGCAGTAATGTGTTAGAATTAAGTTATACATATATTGTAGATTGCATTACAATTCTAGCTTGTATTGTAAAATCTTGTTTGTTCAAAAACATGGAATCCTGCTTCCTTCATTTTTTTAGTAAGTCCCCTGGATATCAACTTTTGTCTACCTGAAAACTAAAAAGGTGATTGGTCCCTAGTCAGGTCATAATATAAAATTGGAGGGCCGGTCTGGAACCATAACATGATCTCTGTGATATGTTTTGGTGCCAGGGAGCTATAAGTGAGACTGATTTGACTTCATCTCTAGCACCATATTCTGTAACTTGCCCAGTTTTCCTTGAAGGAGGTGTTTCAGTAGGAATGGCAAAGTTGATTAAAGGTTGTTCAGTTATGCAATGACGAGTGTGTTGCAGACTTTCAAAGCAAGAGTATTTAGAAGCCTCATAGCTTAATATGATATTGTTTGCTTTAACTTGTTGCAACTACTGGAAAGTAAGAGTTTAAAAGTTGCACGTGATTCAAAATACAGCAGCAGAATAGGGAAGATACACAAATACATTGGCAAAAATATATTTTATTGTGAATTTGATTGCTTGTGATAATTCCTCAAACTCTGTTAGGTAATAGTGTTTTTTGTGTGCTGTGTTAATGTTGTAGATTTATAATTTATGTAGAGAATTGGTATTGATAAATATGATTAATGTTGATTGTGATTTATGTAGAGAATTCTAAGTTTCTCCTTTATGGTATTGTTCAGTCCAATTCAACACTGATGGTTTTAAAGCCAAGAAAGTGTTCTGTATTGAAACATAGCAGATGTTCAACATGCTGCACCACAGTGTGTTATGATACCTGCAAGTTGTTGGACCTGAAATGCATTGTACTGAAAAACAGGATGTTTACAGTCTACCAGTTGGTGAGTGACTGTTCTCTGTTGCTCTGTCATGTAGAAGTTTAGAACAGACGGAAAATTATGTATGTCGGAAGGTACGTTTGCTTGGACTTATACAACAGAGCTCCATTGTGTGTTGTCTTCTGATTTATTTCATTAGACCAACAGCCAATACCTGAGTGCAAATCTTCTGACTATTTTCTAAATTCAGGATAGCATGTGGTACAGAGATCTCTGAAAGTCAAAGTACATTTTTCATTTTAAAAGTATGACTTATATTTCAAGTTTATCTAATAACAATCATTATAATTATATTCAATGTGGTGCTTAAATGGGAGAAACATAAAACAACAACAAAGGTTCTGGATTTAAGTTTTTCTGACTTCATTGAGATGAAATGTAGATAGTCTGTTGTGAACTGGGAAGATCTGTTAATGGGGACAATGTCAGAGTACCAGTGGAAAGTGTTCAAAACAATAATATTGAGCATTATTAGTATATATTAATATATATCTAATTGTTAGGAGTTTTTGCCAAGCAAAACAAGAGCTTGACAATTAAGGAAGTAAAAGACAATGTAAAAGTAGAAGTGAAATATAATAATGCAAAAAAATTGCTTCTGTTAGTTGTGAAAAATACAAAGAATAGCAAAGGGGTGACAAATTGGATTGTATAAGCTGTAGAAGGGAAGTGTGAAATGAAACTTGTAAGGGATATCAAAACCAACACAAAACATTTTTTTTGAGTTAAATTAGAAAGAAAATAGGTTGGTCAGACACAATTGAGAATGTTTAAACTGATAATTATACTGTTGTTAATGAAAATAAAGAAATGTCATTCATGCTGAGGAATTACTTTTAATCGGTATTTGCAGAAGAGAAAAAGATGCCTGACACCCTAAAGAAGACTATTATTGAGTCATGGATTCTTAACATAGCAAGGTATTGTTAATGAAGAAATTAATGGCAGTGAAGAGTGTCAAATCCTTGGGACCAGATATTTTCTATTCCAATGCTTTAAAAGAGATAGGTGAGAACATTGCAGATGTTCTAACCACCATCTTCCAAAATTGTCTTGATTTGTATAAGCAGATGATGCGTGATGAAACTGAATGAATTTTCTGATGAACTGACTGAAGTAGTGGACCAAGGATTGTCTCTGTATTGTTTATATCAACTTACTGAAGATATTTGCTAAGAGATATCAAGCTAAATTTGAAGCCTGTGGTTTCAAGGCAAGTTATTGAATTGGTTAGGACATGGGTTGAATGGCAGCAGACAGAGTAGGGATAATGACAGAAAGATAATTGGAATAGTTAGCAGTATAGATAGAGCACAGTTACCAGGAGATATTGATAGATCGAGTGAGTGCCCAAAACTTTTGGCAAATGGAGTTTGATGCAATATATTGCAAGGTCATTGGCTTTGGACCTAAAAGAATAAAGTAGGATAATCCTAAATGGCGAGATCTAGTGATGAGTATGTGGAGTGAGGTCGCAGATCAGCCATTATCCAAACAAATGATGAAAATGGTTTACTTCCACTCATATATACCTGTTCTCATGTAATAAGATTTTATTGTTTTAGGAGGCCTTTCCTTAAAAGAAATTCCTTAATTTTGTTTGATAAGGACTAACAGCTAACAAAATTGCAATGTATTTTTCCAGTCTAAGTGTATCTATGTTAAATTCCACAGTTTTTTATTCATTCTTGAGTCCATATTTAAGTACAATGGTGGTAGGAATTTGCAGTAAAGATTGTTTACAAGTATTTTGCAGTCTGTTTTACAGTTTAGATTTCTACAAGTATGTGTAATACACATACATCCTTCACCTCGAATTTCAGTAGTCCACGTCAAATTGAGGCCTGACTGTATTTTGGTTTTGTTTTGCTTGCTTTTAGCAGAATGTGCAGAAATGTTATGAATTTCTAGTTTATAAGTGCTTGAAATTTTACTAAATAGAAGTGAAAGTTAAATAAGTTTGATTTGGCTAAAGCTTTATTCCATATATCCCCAACTACTTTGTTCAAGTGAGGAACTATGAGTTATTGCTTCAGAAAATTTCATTTATTGATTTGTGGAGTCTTATCAGGTTTTCACTAGGTAAAACTCAAAAATATCTTTCCAGATTGCTTGACTGAATTATTTAATCTTAATTTCTATAAAATGAAACGTACATGTTAATGCCTTAAATGATGAACTTATTGCAGTGCATAATTAGTTCAGTCTTGTTGACTGTGTATGTTATTTTGTGTAAAAAACAGAATAAGAATATTGGAAGAACTTTTTTTTTAAATCTTGGTTTAAGACGTTTTCATAAAATAAACAGCATAGAATAGTATGTAAGGAACAAAGATTTTGTGATATCAATGATTTACATAATTCATGTTTTCTTTAACAAAGAGCTGTTGTATTTTCCAAAATTCAATATCTCAGAATACCAATCATACCAATTACCAATCACAAGGAGACACCAAATTTATTAACACTGTGTTATATGGACATTTTTTTGCTTATCCCCATCATGCTTTTTGACTTGTGAAATGTGTTAGCAGACAGTACCATATTCTGTTATTTGAAGCATCTACTGTCCTGTATAATGCAAGATGAGTTATGTTTGCATGCTGTCTACCCACGTTGCTTTTGACTAAGGAAGAAAAAGAATCTCATATTATGCAAACTTAAATGCATGACCTGCCATTTAGTTTATAACCTGGGTCTTTTTACCAGTAATGTATCCTTTTCAGAGTGAAACTGGTAAAAATTGTTTTAACCATTTTTTCACCAGGAGCTGGTTTCAGTCTCTGAGTCTTTTTTTGCAAATGACAATTGGCCAGTGAATAACTTCAGCCTTTATTAAATAACATTAATACCCGTGTCCATACAGCATCTGTTCAAGTTCTCCTTGAAGTAACCATTTTTCAAAGCTGAGCCTGTGCATTTAATTTTGGCAATCCTCTTAGAATTTTTTCAAAAGCTGTTAATTTTCCTAATTCCTTTTTGAAATTTCATTTATATTTTACTCTGTGCAATTTATTAAGTTGTCAGGCAATTGTTGCCATTCCTGTTCTCAGCCTGCTAGAAAGCGATAAAGACTTAAGTGGCTGGGGCCTGATGGTTGCAGTTGGAACATCTCCCTTCTTTCTTGAAGAAATGTAATTCCGTGGAGGACCTTCCCTGATGGTGTTGCTGTGACTGGGTGCTAATTGCATGTTATACACTACCAAAGACATTGTGCTGGTATCGTGCCATGGAATATGTAACGCTATCTTGAATTTCCTTTAAGGCATTTTTCCTTGATTGATACATGTTGCTTGATTTCTTATTAATACTGTTCTGCATTTTGTGAAATTTTGTTTTTCCTTTTTCACAAAAATGCTGGGTACTAACAAATTAGCCATGACTATGTTGGCAAATGTGGCATGCTTACGCAAAATAAACTGCCTGGAAAGTACG